GAGTCAGTGAGCAGAGGAATATCCTACATGAAATAAGAAAACGGAAGGCTAATTGGATTGGTCATGTTTTACGCAGAAACTGCCTTCTAAAAGAAGCTATCGAAGGAAAGATAGATGGGCGGATAGAAGTGACAAGAAGACGAGGAAGAAGACGTAAGAAGATGCTGGATGACCTTGGGGACAGAAGAGGATACTGTCATTTGAAGGAGAAAGCTCTAGATCGCATTAAGTGGAGGAATTGTTTTCAAAGAGACTGTGGACCTGTCGTCTTGACAGATTACTGATGATGATGAATCATGATGATAAAAGAAAAACTCACCATCTGCGAAGTGGCTGGAATTGTGACAGCAGGCAAATACCGCATTGCTCATTCATCACATACAACATACGTCCAAAACATTCCGGTCTATCCGCCACCTGGCCAGCAACTCTTACCTTTTCCCTCTTCTATCGTCTTCTATGCCTTCTATGCCGTTCTACTCTTTCTATCTAGCATTTCTAGCCTTCCACTGCCATCTATTTCCTGTCGCTTGCAGACGTGTCATCTAGTGCGATCTACTGGTATTATTCCGCACAGGATGAGGAAGTGACGTATGAGTGCGCCACAAAGGCCACAAACGTGACGCTGGTGTCTGGCGCTTGTGGCGTGCCTCGTGTCTTTGGTTTTGTTTCGTGCGCTGAAAAGGTTTGAGTTGTTCCTAGTCATAATTGTATCATTGCTGTTGTCTGTGTTGTTTTATAGGCCTAAACAGTAACATGTTATTGCCACCGCTATGCTACTTCAGATATTATTGTTACTTGAAAACTAATTTGCAGTTAACAAATAGAGATTCCCCCACATGGGTCCTTTGGCAAACTCGTGCAAGCTGATCGATTATATATGATGGAAATGGCTAACCCATCGTACTCATACATGATGGAACAGTTTTTAATAATATGTGAAAGATCGTACAGTGTGTATACAAATTCTTGAATTGCTGTGATAGAGCTTATTTCAAATACACGCAGAAGGTCGTGCAGTGTGCGTACACATTTTTTGGACAAATAAACTGAAAACAACACATTTTCTGCACGCCAGAATGATCTTTCACGGGCCCCGGCTCGTAGATTCAAACAAATAACAACGGCGATGTGGTAGTGTTTTGCGGAAGAAACTAAGTGTTCTCAGTTGAATGGTTATGCTGGTGTGTTTATGGGTTGCTGGAGGCCATTAGGTGGTTATGTTCGGGTTTTACGTGGCTGGAGGCCATTCCGTGTTCAAGATGGCAACAGCTGTAAAACGGGAAATGCACTTATGACCCAACTCCAGTATTTTGTTTGATAATATTTAGCCAATTTTTTCGATTAGGAAAGTGCCAGCTGGTATATATACCACCCATTATGGAGTTAACCCGAAGGGTCAGAGGGCTCCCAGAAGTAGACCCTGTGTGTGTGGCTTTACAGCCCATCGGACCTTGGCCGCTTTTTCAGTTTCTTAATCCTATAGACAGTAGGACTCCTTGGATGGCTGATCAGCCCATTGCAAGTCCAGCACTTACAGAGAATAACACACGCAGAATAAATGCACAGACATCCATGCCTTGAATGGGATTCGAATCCATGACCCCAGTGTTTGAGCAGGTGAAGACAGTTCATTCCTTAGACCATGCTACCACTACGATTGGCTCTGAAGTAGAATGCTTTCTCTTTTTCCTCCAGAATTGCCAAATGGTCGGGTGTTCCCTAGCCTCATTGTTGTTTATATTGACACATGATTTAGATTTATCTCCAGCTTGGCCCTGGTAGCTAAACCTGTATTTTGTGTTCTTGAACACTTCACCAGTAGTTTGCATATTGATGCTCAGGTATCTGAAGGATTTCACTGCTTCATGGAGCTTCTATTTCAATATAGTGTGTGTGCCATGGATACTGTTTTAGTCTTTTAAGCATATGATTGCTCTTTGTTCATTGTTGTGTGTTACTGAAGATAACTTGTAGGTGTTCTGATTGTGTCATAAAGGCTGTATCATACATGTACATAGGCATCATTTCTCTAGATGTTTGTCATTGTGACCTTGAGTTCCGACTGTTCAGACATTTGTGTTAACTCTTATGTAAATAAGCTTTTGAGTTTTTTCGGTTAAAAGTTTGTAGCTATTAAGTTTAAATAACTCAAACATTAATGTGAATGGATGATTATTTCTTTTTCTTCGAAGTGATCACAACTTGACGATGATGATGATGAATTTATAAACTTTTTTTGCCCTAGTATATTTCTGCAGCAGCCTGTTAAAAGTTTCTTCCAGAAGACTGACATCATTCTGTATATATTTATTGTTGTATTCTTGATGAGAGAACCGTTTCTCTTCCAGGAAATTTATGTTCATATTGACTTAGATGCATGCATTTCCTGCATGGCAGTTTAGATGCCTTGCTAAAATTACTGATGTCGAACCATTCTCCAGAAAGTGACGCAGTTTGGCTTCCAAATGACTGGAAGGATTCCCTTAACCATGCTAGAGGAGTGCCATTGGGTTCTTAATTTACAGTCACCAGCAACATTATCTCAACGGAGCAAAATCAGTTGGTTCATTTGCTGCTTTGTATCCAGGAATATACTTTTCATCCTTCACTAAATTCTGAGTGACATTTTCTTCCAGTAAAGACATATTTAATTTTTATCAATATAGATTACCTGTGAAGAACAGCAGACTTCTATTTTGACGATTTCTGCTACTTGCTGGGGAGAATTGTTTGCTGTTTCTTAGTTGGTACTGTCTGCTTCTCCCTGGACATGAATGTTAAGCCAGCCATCTCACCAGAAGCAGTCAGACTAACTTTTGCTAGCAGCGCAAGTCATTGGTTGTGTCACCTTAATCTTTTCCAGTATGGTCACTTGATTGAGAGGCACATACAGTCTTTGTGTCTGATCAATCAGTCCACATAATAATTTCTTTGTAGTTGTGTTATGGAGCCTACCTGATCCTAGCCCTTTTGAGGTTGAAAGTGCTATTGCAAAATTGAAAAGATACAAATCGCCAGGTAGTGATCATATTCCAGCAGAACTTATTCAAGCAGTAGGTGAAATATTACATTCTAAGATCCAGAATCTAATTATTTCTATTTGGCATAAGGAAAAATTGCCTGATCAGTGGTAGGAATCTATTATTGTGCCAGTTCACAAGAAGGGTGTTTCGCTTGGAAGCAGCGCCAGAAGAATGGACTGATTCATTGTCATGCAGAAGACATCAGAATCCACTTTCCTGAAACTCAGGCCTGATGAGATGAATTTGAGCAATTGATCTCTTTGTCACTTATAAAATATACCGTTTATAGTCTGTTTCTCATGCACAAATTCATGATCAGTGATACTTTTAGCATAAGAAATGCAGTCAACATTGTTTTCACCCACGATTTTTACATTCTCACTTTCTGAGCTTCTTTGAACATTTTATGCCATTCAAAAACACTTGTTCTTGATAAATTTTCTTCAGAGTATGCACTTTCCAACATTTCAAACGTTTCTATAGCTGTTTCCTTCATTTTATGTAAAACTTAGTCGCTGCTCTTTGTTCCTTTGACATGACAAAGAAAACTAACTTCACCAAAACAACTGTATCAACCAAACAAGTTGAAACTTGCACACCATATAAATAAACGTTCTTTCTAACTGGTCCTGTTGATCCCCGATAAATTGGCATTAGTATAGTATTACTGTAATAACATCAGTTCAGGAACTTTATTGTTACACTGTGTATGTACTTAAGTGGGTATTAAAACACATGGCAGGTGTTAAGTGTTATATGCCAAGTGATGATTGTAATTTGTCTGAACATCTGTGCAGACATTTGCTTTATCACCACCCACATCTGATGGCAGTATAGTGTATGACACATTGAGTCAGTTGAAATGTAACATCCTAGAACTACTTTGATTATAATTGCCAAACATAATGATGGATCCTGTTTGTTTTCTTTCTAGGAAATTTTCATGATGTCATCACACTTGACCTGGATGATCATCCGAAACAACAATGCTTATCTTTTGAAGAAAAGAAATATTAAGAAACCTTTTAGTACAGAGCCAAATAATCTTAACAACCTGAGCTCTTATCGATATAGTGGACTTATTCATAAAAAGAGTGTTGGTGTAGTGGCTGCACCAGACAACAAGGGATTCACTGTGGTGTACAAGAAAAGCAGATCATCGGTATGTTTCCATGCAGCTCTATATGTAGACCTGAAATACTGGATTTCAAATGATATTTGGAAGCTAGCTGAATTTTTATGACAGTTGCCTTTTTAACACACGTGACTGATGGTTTTGTTTAATATACGTGTATTTTCTATTGGAATTGCCTGGCAAATTTCTGGTAAATGTGGAATTTTAATTTCAGTACAAACCCGCAAAATCTGTGGTGAAAAGAACAATGAAAGCTGGTCCACGGCGTTCTTTGTATAAGCTGAAGAGGTTGCTGAGAGCTAACAAATATAGGACAGACCTCACCAAGGTACTTTGTTTATTTTAATTTAAAATACCTGTAAATACATCACATGTTATGGCGTATACATGGTCCTACCACAGACACTGTTCCTAACCCTTCAGTGATGTTTAAATAATTGTAGGTGCTCAGTGCTGCTGTGAGGTATTTTATTTTTGTAGGTTGCTTTAATTCTTGCATTCAAGTTTTTAAACATTTATAACTAGTTATGTATGAGAATTTTTCTGCACAGGGCTGAAGATTGTATTTCTGATTAACTGAACACTATACGTGCATGAAGGAAGCAAACACATTAACCGTGAAGATTTGTGTGATAGTTGTCGAAGCAGCCATCCAAAAACAAGTGCTTCTCATTCACAGCACCACTAAGTTGGTTCTCTCTGTTTTTGATGTTCTGAACACATGACACATTTCTCTGTCTTAGCTTAGCGTTCCTTCCTGTGGCAGGAATTCACTGTAGGAAGTAATAGTCATTCTCTTTGGAGGCTGTTTGCTTGATAGATGGACATACATAGGCCAACGGGCAGCAGACGTGTGTTTCTCTACTTGACATTGTATCAGGAGACTTACTTCGTTTGAGTCAGCAAGGGATCTGCACCACCCACAATATTCAAGACAGTTCTCACATGGCAGCGTCATGGAAAGTGTGTTCCTGGATTCAGAAGAAGTGATTTGTGTTTACGAGGTTCTATTGGAAAGTTCCTGGACTAAGTCAAGAAAAAGATTCCAAATTAACGTACTCAATTTTGGCTGCCATCTATTCTAGAGTAGTCTTCTTGGGAACAAGTACAATGATTCCATCATTTTTTCTACACTTTAGAAGCACCATGGGAGTTGTTTTCCTTAATGCTGTGGAGTAATGCAATTCCATTCGGATGTCAGACACTGTTTCAGAACATCCCTTCAGGTTCATTTTCAATTTGGGAAACGAAGCAAAATCACAGGGGGTTAAGTCCAGTGAGTAGGGAGGATGGAGAATGATAACCATGTTGTTAGTCACAAACTTGGTGGTTTTCAGGGATATGTGGGCGGGCACATTGTGATGTAGGAGCAGTGTGACACATTTTTAAACTTTCAGTTAAGATCTGGTAAACTCCATAACTGATGCCAGTGGTGTCTGCAAGCTCGTGGATTGTTCAACGATGAGATCTCAAATTTTTTTCTGTCGTTTTTCTGGTTCTTGGTTGACCTGAACATTTGTCATCTTCAACTGACACTTGAATGGTCTTGAAATGTGAATGCCATTCAGAAAGACTGTCTGGCTTAAAGAATGTTCTCCAAAAGCCTTGAAGCATTTCAAGGGTTTCGGTAGCAGATTTATGGAGCTTCGTGCAAAACTTGAAGCAGACACATTGCTCGATTTTGCTGTCCATCGCAGAGAAAACAAAACATGTCAAAAAAAAAAGTACTCATGTAAAAATAGTGCACGTTCACAGCTTGGTGTCATGTGGCAGACTGATGCAATAGGCATGTGGAAGTGTGACTTTGGCCTCCCCTCACTTCCTTCACCAAGCAGTTACAACTATAACAGTCCATGCACTTTATGACAGCACCTATTTTCTTCCACATGGTGTAACAGGATTACAGTAACTTGCTTAGCAATGATATGCACCAAGCAATTTGGGAGAAAAGACTTGCAGAACTGTCAAAGATAATCACCCTATTGCAGGACATACAGAAAATTTGATGAAGGTAGTATTGGCAACAGTGGGCTTGAAAATCATGAACTACCATTCATTTGTTTAAACCAATGAAGGGCACATAGGAAGACAAATTGATGATGAACTCTGTGTTGAACTGGCTACATAGCATAAAACCTTTTATGCTGTTGGCATCAGTAACTAGCCAGGACAATGGAAAAATATGTTAATGTAAAGGGGGAATACCTTGAAAGGGGGTGAGTGTTTGGTGATTCTGATTGTAATCTTTTTGTAAAAGAATGAAGCCCAACCACCCACGTAACTTAGTGCTGTGTGAAGGTTTTATTGCATTGATTTTAGGATTGGCAACAGGCACCTACAAAGCCTGGCATTTTATCATTTTTAATGTACAGTTATTGAGTTCATAGTGCATTTTTTTACCCCAGATTGTATGACTTGTTTTGTCGTGGATTTTTATATGGTTTATAAATGGGCACCTTGGAAAATGACACACCTCTAAATGTATCTCACCCACCCTCAAACATCTGGAAGTGGGTTTGTATTGGTCTTCAGGTGGAAGGGAGAGAAAGCTCATCTTTGTTGAGTCCCTTGGTAGAGTTGCCCTTGGTCCAGGATTTGAGAATAACAGGAATATGTTGGCGTCTCCACCTTAAAGACAGATATAGAACCCATTTCTGAAATGGGAACTGGAATAGTGGAGCCAGAGGAGACAGCTGTGCTGGGTAGAGTGACAAATAAATATGTCTCCTTGGTAGTGTATACACATGCAACAGTCATGGCCCAGAAGTTGACTGTTGGAGCTAGGTCAGGTGTGAGGCAGTCACCAGCCGGTAACATGAGTAGAGGACATTGCTGGGATTGGTCAACAAGCTACACCTATTAAAGACTGAGGAGACTTGTGTGCTCTAGTGACAAATCAACTGTCTGAATTAGCGATAGCACTATAATTCTTCATAGTTGCGAGTTCTGAGACCAGTAATCAATTACCAATCCAAACCATGTGTCTAGTCACTAAATATGTGACAGTGCCACATGGGTTTGATTGAAAATTGGATTTTTTTTTATTGCTAGTGGGGTGGGACTAAGTCCCTTGTACTGTGGCCACTTCTGGCCTATTGTACCAGCCCCAGATGATAGGTGAGGGTGATTGTTGAGCAATTGGTGGAATGAAGATTGGCAGGGGAAACCGAAGTGCTCGGAGAAAAGCTGCCCCAGCGTCACTTTGTCCACCACAAATCCCACTTGACCGGACCCGGGATCGAACCCAGGCCACCACGGTGGCAACCCAGCAACTAACTGCTTGAGCTATGGCGCAGCCCAAATTGGATATATTGAACATTTGTAATTCGCAACTACAAATAACTAGTCTCACTGATTTACACTCTATGATGGACTACAGCACAAAGTGCACACAGCATTCTGTTTATTCACTAGTCATTGTCAGGTAGCGGCTGCTATCAATACAACGCAAAACTGTTAACCGCCAACTTTGACCTCCAGCTAAATTTTCCTGTTGGCCCTTAACCTTGCCACAGACTACACAGAAAACACTGATTCCAACAGTTCTCTCTTGCATGCTGATTCATGGCTGCCTAGCAATTACTGCATCTTCTTTGTTCCACTATTTTGGCTTTCAGCCATCATATCACAGCATATAAGAGTATGATCTTGGGCAAAGTCCAAATAAATGACTATATACATAATTAGTGTTCCTACATATTGTAGGTTAGAGTCAGCAGTATTTTAAAAGTATACTAATAATGCTCCAGACCAGGGATGGAAAACCGTTGGTGCTTGTGTGCAGTTTGTCATTCACTGAGATATCAGCAGTGAGTACAGGTTTTGCATATATTAACATGGGAGCCACTTAATAAATAGGTAGTTCACCATGCAGCCATTCTTTTTTGTAAGATATGCATTTCCTTTTACTTTTGGATTCATCCTGAGTACTAAGAAATATGTTGCCAGCAAAAGATAGGTATAAGAAAACGTGATATACATAAAAGTATGATTTCAGAAGCTGTTTGTGAAATGTAATGCAGTGTGTATTGCTTTAAAAACCATGTAGGAGCTAACTGGAGAGGTAACATACAGGGTTTGTCAGGAAAGTAATGCAGTTTGTTTTTTCCCGCTGCTCCTGGTCGCAGCGTGTTTGGACCAGTTGGGAAGGGGGGGACTCTTAGCTTCACAACACTTCCAAGCTCAGTCTGCTCTGAGCTCTGGGAGCATCAGGATCACTGTTTCTGTGAACCTCCTGTTAGTGCCTGTGTTACGACGCGCAATGGAGAAAACTATCAAACAACATTAGCGGTCAAGTTCTCTGCTAAACTGAACAAAAGCCTTGCTGACACCCACCAAATGATTCCGGAAGCTTACGGGAACTCTGGTCTCTCCAATTCTCAAGCCTCCAGGTGGTTGAAGTTGTTTAAAAATGGCCGGGAAGAGGTGGAGGATGACCCCGACTCTGGACGGCTCTCAGCCAGCAAAAGTGACAAAAATGTGTCTCGTGTTCATGATATTTTAAATACCGATCGTCGAATGAGTGTTCAGATGAAAGCAGAGACTCAGTGTTCCAAAAACCACTGTGCATGACATTGTTACCGACAATTTGCACATGGCAACTGCACCACGACAATGCTCCCAGCCACACTGCTCTGCCCATTGGGAGTTTCTGGCCAAGCACAGCTTGGCAACGTTGCCCCAGCACTCCTACAGTCCTGACCTGGCTCCAGCAGACTTCTTTTTGTTCTCAAGTATCAAGACCGCCCTGAAAGGAACCCATTTTGGAACCATTGAAGTGATCCAAACCGCCTTGACAAAGGCTCTAAACGAGGTCCCCGTCGATGCCTTCCAGAATGTGTACCATGCATGGAAAAGTCGCTGGCAAAAGTGTGGATGCCCAAGAGGAGTACTTTGAAGAATTTTAAACGTTTGTAAGGATATCTTGAATAAATTTTTTTTATGAACTTAATTGCATTACTTTTCAGACAAACCCTGTACTCCTGCATGTAACATCATTTGATGCCCCTCTATGAGACTACATGGTGTCATAAACCAGAAGACAGTGATAATGGTTTTTATTTGTGGAGTTTCCCATCCTTCCCAGGTGAATGCTGGGTATAGTGCCCAACTCCCTTTGTCCATATATTCTCACCACCTATTATCCATCTGTTGTTTGATGCTGTTTCCTATGCAGGTGATAGTGTCATCATCATACTGTGCTCTTAGGGCAATATTGTATTGATTTCAGTTGACAGTTTCTCTGTATTGCAGGCAGCTTTACGCAGAGCCAGTGCAGTGTTGAAGTCACAGAAGCCACTACCAATTAAGAAAGCACGTGCAAAGAAGTCTGATTAAGGATTTTGTAGTCTTAGATGGCTTAATAAAGATTCTTGATTTGATTGACTCTTTCAATTGTCAGTCCTTGAGGACTGGTGTTCTACTTGCAGCCTTCTCTGCAGGTTTAAGAAGAGTGACTATGATGCAGGATAAATGAATATGACCAGCCAGTGTTTTGTTGTCTCTATTATTTTTGTTAAAAGATGTTTTGAGAGGATCGTCAGTTTGCTGACTGTAAGGAGGAAAAGAATAGTTACTGGGTGGACATTTGTAATAAAAGAGTACTGCAGTTAATTGAATGGATATACAGTGGAACCTCGCTTAATGAGCATAATTCGTTCCAGAATCTTACTCGTTCAGCGAAACAATTTTTCTCATATAAATAATGTAAAATACGATAATGCGTTCCATGCTGAAAAAATAATAAAAAAATATTATGTAAAACGTTTATTCAAAGAAAATTATATATACATTGTTGAGGAGCGTGAATCATGTTCATCTTTTCTTCTATGTGGAATGAACAAACCTGGAATGTGAATTCGATTTGCAGAAAACAAAAAAACCGAAATAATTAGTTTATTATTTATGATACATATCTAATTCTTTTTTTACTAGAAAGCTGCCTAGAGACATTTGTTTTTGCCGACGCTTCAAAATTTGGTGAAAATGCGACAGCATTATCATTAAATAAATTTGTAGCATGCATAGCTACTGCCTTATTAGGGTGATGCTTCTCAATGTATGATGCAACAGTTTCCCATGCTTTCAGCATTTCTCTTACTGCGCCAGAAGATTGTTGCTTTGATGTTACCTCCTCCTCCTCCTCTGACAAACTCTCCTCCACAACTTTTTGCTGTGAAACACAACGCAACTCCAAATCGTGCACATCATTGCTGTAGACCGATTGTTTGCGCATGCTAGATCAGCCACGCTCACACCTTGTCCTCGCTTTTCAATGATTTTACGTTTCATTTCTACTGTCATTTTTATTCTCTTATGGCTGTCATTTTTGCAAGGGTTATTAAACTTTGCAAATAAAAAAATTACAAATTTGTCTGAACACAAGCAACTCTAAGATGCTAGCGGAACGAGTGCTAAACACAGACTGAGGTAGCAAGCGCACAATCTGGGACTTCCCCTCGTCACTCGTTATGCGAAACGTCGCTCGTTAAGCAAGTTATTTTAAAATTTGTTTTGCTCGTTATGAGAGGTGCTCGTTAAGTGAGTTTCCACTGTATTTTGAATGTATAGGTGACCCCAACATTTTCCAAGTTAATTGTAAAGTAGAGACATTCATGAAAGAATGATGTGCATTTTATTTGTATCACAGAGGAATTTAAGCCTACTGAGGAGGCATTTGAGGTTTTCAGTGAAATAACATATTGTATATGAGACTAGTCTTGAAACCACACTCCCGCAGGCTAGTGATATGGAACGGGAAATGTATTCAGTCCTAATGAGCTGCCAGTGGCATCTTGAGTATGCATGCTATGAGATGTCACACTCACCTCACATACTGTGCAACATAAATCTTTAAAGGGTTCTGACAGTGGTGTATAATACTCAGAATTATTGTTTTTTTGGACTCTGTCCATCATCCCATATTCTAAAAAGTAGAGAACACAACAGTTTGAAACTGGATTTGTTTCTATCTTCAGGTTATGGGAGGAAACACCTCTCTGTTGGGTCCCTTAGAAACAGCTAACCTCAACTGAAGCAGGTGAAAGACTGGGAATTGTCTACCCTGTTGGGTCCGTTAGAGCTAATTTCAGTCACTGGACCAAATAGAGTATCTCTCCCTGTCACATGAGGATGGAAACACCAGTTTCCGAAACAGTGTTCTTTAGTGCTTTTTTTTTAGAACACTGAACAATAGATAAAGTGCAAAAAAACAGTAATTCTGAGTGGTGTGCATCATCAGAACCCTTCACAATCTGTCACACCATATATATTATGAGCTCTATCTGTTGGGCTATAACGCCATGTAGTCTGCTGAAAGTTAACTGACATTTCAGAGAAACATATCGCCTCCAACTTAACGCACGCAGTCACAGGAGCAAGACACAACAAAGAGTACCATACACATGAATGTAGGAAGAGTGCTCCCACAGAGGTGGATTGGTGTGATTCGCGTATTGAGATACGACGTAAGGATGGCGAATCCTGAAAAGTTTTAATATTTAAAATCTATTATTATATATGAAGAATATATATTTTAGTAATTTTAGTATGAAGACATCAGGGCATGCAGTGCAGTAGTTAGACGTGCATAGAGAAAATGCACCTGAAGATGGCACATTAGTGCTGAAACATGTAGTGCAAAAGAGAAGAGTAAGGTGAAAAAGTGTATGCACTGTAAGACAGCATAAATCATGGACATGAGTCAGTGCAACAGGACGCTAAAATATAACATTAATTTATTTCTATTGGGGCAGTAACACATTTGAAAAGAAAACAAATGTCACCTATTCAGTCAAAACTTGGTAACAAAACATTTCACAGCCAGACCAGAGAGGTTGTAAATAACGTCCATTCGTTTATGAAAAGTGAAGCGGCTGCAGGTCATGTATTGATACCGTTAAGAAAGATACAAGAGAGTAGTAGTAAGGTCAACCGAAGTTTCAGAAAGAAGTTTACGGAGAATTCTGAATGAAGGTTCTCGATGTGAAAAAGAAGGTGCTATGTTTGGAAGTCCCAGTAAACACCTGTACCTAAACTGATGATAAATCTAGATAATTTTGATATATCTGATTCGATGGACAGTGTATGATTTCTACACCCAAGAAAAACTGTCACTACTCTGACGAAACTACTTCCAAAACTCAGGGAAACCATAAATTTCAAGGGAGGTGGTAGTACCAGCCTGAAATTGATTTTACGGAAGATGGGTTTTAAATGGAAGAAAACGCGTAATAACGGGCGCCTTGATCGAGAGGGATGACATTAGGTCAGAGAGAATAGCATATTTGCATGCAATAAAGAAGTACAAGGAGGAAGGTCAGACTATAATTTATGAGGATGAGACCTTCATTCACAGCAGTCACACCAGACCTAAAAACTGGACGGATGACACTCCATCAGGGTACATGGCACCCATATCAAAGGGCCAGAGACTGATTATTGTGCATGTGGGAGGCGGAACCGGCTTCATTCCCGATTCATTGTTGATATTTAAATCTCATCTCAAGACCGGGGACTGTCATAGCAAAATGAACGCGACAAATTATCAGAAGTGGCTAAGAGAAAAACTTATTCTGAATTTTCCTCCAAAATCAGTTCTTGTAGATAATGCCCCATATCACAACGTGCAGTTTAATAAGGCGCCAGCCAGCCAAACCACAAAGGCCAAGATGAGGGAGTGGCTTACAGTGAACAATGTGCCATTTCATGATGGAATGCTCAAAATTCAGCTCTATGACCTAATAAAAGCATATAAACCCCTCCATAAAAACTTTGTAATGGACAACATAATGGCTGCATATGGACACACGGCATTACGACTTCCACCTTATCATCCAGACTTGAATCCGATTGAACTTGTTTGGGCTGATGTTAAGCAGTCGGTAGGGGCAAAAAATGTACCATTTCATTTGGATGACATGGCAAAGAAGTGTGAGAAATAGTTCAGTGAATTTAGAATAGAGAATTGGGAAAAAGTTTGTGACCGCACCAAAATGAATGAAAAGGAATATATCGAACTAGAGGGAATTGGAGAGAACACTGTAGAAAGAATTATCATCCGACGTTCTGAAGACAGCAGTCACGGTGACATCAGTGATGATGATACAACTGAACTCTGTGACAACAGTGACTTGTCTGGAGTGGAACTGTTAGATGAATAATTAGTATTGTGTAAGATTTGAGGCTTTCACGGCGGTGACTATGAAGAAAGCAGTCTTCTGGGATTTGGCACCGTGTATATGTGGTGTTAACCGACGTTTCGGAGGAACGTATCGCCTCCATCTTCAGGGTAGAAGAAAAATATATAAGAAATCTGCAAGCAAAGAGACCGTGAGAACCGGTAAAAGCAGAGTGGAAAATACACAGCTATGTGAGAGCAGTGAGGGAGAAGGGGGAAGGGCAAGTATACAAGTGAAAGCAGCAGTGTGGGAGGGGTAGGGGAAGGGAGCTAGGACAAGCGAGGTTTTTGTGTAGGGGACAGAATGGCAAGGTTGAAGGCTGGGCACCACCCGTGAGCTGAGGGGTGGGGGTTATGTTGGTTGGTCGTGGCCTGGATCTGGCGTCATATCCCGGTGGGGGTTTTTTAAGAAAACAGATGAGAGGTTTCCAAGACTTACTGAGACAAAACCCCCCCTCCGTTCCTCCGAAACGTCGGTTAACACCACATATACACGGTGCCAAATCCCAGAAGACTGCTTTCCTCAATTAGTATTGTGTTAGGTTTATGTGTATTTTAAATTAACGTTGCTAGTGTAGTGCAGCATACTGTGAGTAAATTAGTTACTCATAATAGGATGTTAAAAAGCCTGAATTGTGACTGATAGGACTAGAGTTCCAGTTAAATTCATCGTGCAGTCGGAGAGCAACTTCCAACCTCACAAGCAGCCAGCCTACAAATGTTCTCTCTGCAGACAAAGTAAGTAGACTTGCTGTCATGCACCGACAGTGAGGGACACTGGTCAAAAAGTATTCGCCGGCCTGTACCTGCTTTCATGCTGGTTTCTTGTGTGGTTCATTCAACCCTCAAGATGTAGGTGACTTGTTCCTCCATTCAACAGACTGCATGGCATCATATCCCAGAAGATAGCACCTCAAATCCTACATGTAATATACATGTAGGGTATATTATAATACATGCTCTGTATCATGAAGTGCACTGGTGACAACATATCACAGACACATTTCATCCATGACATTTTTCTTGAAATTACTGTTAGACTACAGGTGTTGCAGATTTACAAACAAACTCTGTTGCACGAAAACACAGCTTTACTGAAGTGATACAGGAATAAATAATGGTGCATAAGAAGAAAAAAGGTAAAGTTGCTGTGCTTAACTGGGAAAGATCCCCCACTATCCATTGGATAGGTGCTTGGGTTGG